TTCCAACCGGAACTGAAAAGCACAACTGCCATTTGTCAACTGCACAACCAGCTTCTCATAACTCGGTACTGCTCTGGGCAGCAGACGTGGAGGGTTCCAGGACAAGCCGATGCTGGTGCACACTGCTTCAACACCTCAAGCTCAGAGATCGTTATCAGCAGGAGATAATCCTCTGGGAATGCATTTGATCTGGGGTAATGTACTGTGTGTATGCTGTATTATTTGAAGCTATCCAATAACTGCACAACCAGCTTCTCATAACTCGGTACTGCTCTGGGCAGCAGACGTGGAGGGTTCCAGGACAAGCCGATGCTGGTGCACACTGCTTCAACACCTCAAGCTCAGAGATCGTTATCAGCAGGAGATAATCCTCTGGGAATGCATTTGATCTGGGGTAATGTACTGTGTGTATGCTGTATTATTTGAAGCTATCCAATTCTGCTACAAAGAGATACAGGATGGTAAAATTCACAGTGTTACTATCTAAGCTTAAGTCAGCGAGCAGCTTCTGAGATGCAGGCAGAACTCACAGGATGTGTCAAGTGTAGATAAGAAGTGAGGAAGCAGCTCGTGGAAAGAGAATTCTTAAGTGAGTAACCTCTAGGATGTGTTAAAGAGCGAAAGAACACCTGAGACACATTTTGGACACATAAGTGTCCCTTCCATGTACCAACAGCTGGAAACACCAAGTCATGATTATGCCACCACTAGGTTGGCAGCTATGACACACCTAAATTGGCTGTCTCTATGACATGCAGGATGGTCCCCTGACCCGAATGTGCTCTGCCACCTGATTGTTCCAAGAGCTCACTGGGGAGCTATAGTGGTGCCACCTGTGTCCTACCAATGAAGCAAGTGTGCCACTAGACTCAAATACTTTCCGTCTAGGGCCCTTTGCTCAAACTTCAGTTCTGTCCTTGTAGCCCCACCAAATGCGGATGGCCAATTCACAGAGCTAGGGACAGGACACATGAGAGTCACAGGCACAGGACTCAAGTGGCAGTCCTTCCACCACCCTCCCTGTCCTCAGTGTATGTACTTCTCTCCTGCCCCACTTCCTGGAGCCTATTGTAAATTGATTTTACAATAACACTATTCAACATCTCATTCGGTCCACATGCTCTCCCGTTCCATGACCGCTTTCTCAGCACTGTCCTTGGAGGCTACACTGTCAAGGTCATTCCCCACCTATCAGGTAGGGCCTTAGAGTCTGCATTTCCAAGACTCCAGGTGATGCTAATGCTGCTGGTCAGGGGACCAAACTTTGAGGAGTAACAGGGGTATTTGTACAAAGCAGAGTAACTGCATAGTCTTCCCTGGAAGAGCTTAAAGTACCTGTGGACTCCAGCACACAACACACATAGAACTGGCTGCCAGGGGAAGACTCCACCCCAGGTGCATCTGACCGCCGGCCTCTGGTCCAGCCTCGGGAGAGGCTGCCTGTCTGTGCCCGAGTCCTTGGAGAGGACTGTGACGTAAGAGCCCTAGGATGTCTGCTGGCCTCCCTGCTGGGGCAGGCGTGCAGGCCACTGCGTGGTCGAAGGAACCAGGATGTCTGTCCTCCTCTCTGCTCTGGCCCTCACTCCTGGTACTAACCAAAGGAACAACTTCAGCCTGTAATTTAGAGCTTATATACTTTCCTTCTAGGAAGAGCTGGAAAGGTTTCACATATGGAAAGTATTCTAAGCAAAGGGAATATTAAGGACTCTAATTATAGAAAGGGTTTATCTACACATGCCTAACCTGGGCCTTTTGGTTTGCTTCCAATTTACTAAAACGAGTGTGTTGGCACGTGTACGTAGTCGACAGCCTGCTGGTTGTCCACAGTTCGCCACCACACCATGGGATACTAGCCTTAGCAAAATGGCCTTCAAAGTCCTGGTTTGGGTTAGGGATAGACCCAACGCATTTGAGGCAGAATAGATAATGTAGAGACGCCTCTTCCCCCTTCAGGACATGGCTCTTAGAAATTTTTCTTTTCTTCAGACCTCCCTCTGTTTTAGTCCTGGCAAGGATAGATAAGTGTAAACTGGTCTTTTCTAGCTTAGATGCTATCTTTGGCTAAGGCACAACCTTTGGCAAATTATAATATCATAATCTCATCCATATTGCAAATACTACCGCTCCCATCATGCACCTGATGCCATGACAGGCCCAGAAACCACATAAGGAAGAACGAGTGGGGAACCGAGCTCCCTGCCTTCTGGGAGTGGACAATGAGGCCACATCAGTACCAGTTTCCAGGCTCTGCCCCCATGAAACAACGAAAGCCCAGAATCGAGACATCCTCTCAGAACTCTGTCTCTGTCTCTCTGTCTCTATCTCTCTGTCTCTCTGTCTCTCTCTTTTGCCCACACTCCTTTCTTGGGTATGTACTTTCACATTAATAAAACTTGTGCTTTCCCACTTGCTTTTGGTCTTGCCCTTGAATTCTTTCTTGCAGCGTAAGACAAGAACCTGGTCACTGGAGTTCTGAGCTCTGGCAATACATCTAACCATTTTTCTTCTCAATTTAATCTGAAATTTTCAGAGAAATGAAAGCTCCTGCCATCCAAGGGAACTAGGTAAAGCAACAAACTAAGTCTCAATCATCAAAACCTCTAACTATAGAAAATTGAAATAACACTGATAATTTTAACTTTGACAGTATAAATAAAGACTTCTAAAAACAAAAACAGTTCTTATCATAAAAATAAAAAAATAAAATAAAAAACTCCTCTTTTTTCACCTATTCCTACAGGAGCAGAGTGTCCCTACAGCAACCTTGGTCAGCTATGGACCCCTCCTAGGAACTGTCACTATAGAGGGCTGTGTTATTGGGCCCAAATTTCAGGTTACAAAAGAGGGATCTCTCCGCAGTGGCATGAAGACAAGAGCCCCATATGGCAGGCAGCCAGGAGCTTTGTCCTATAGAACCATACAGGATCACAGATTTGTGAATTTGGGTTCAGACTGTCGTACCTACAAATGTGCTGTCATCAAAGGGGCCTTAGTTATTTATTTCTACAAAGGATTTGAAGATGATTACAGAAATACATAGCAATGTAACTGAGGCAGGACAGGTGGTACAGGAACACTCCCTCCCCCTGCAGGATATGGCTCCAGAAATCTTCCCTGTCTTCATACTTCTCAGGTTTAGCCCAGCAGGGGGAATATGCCAAAACCAGTCTTTCCCAGCTTAGGCACCATCTTCGGCTAAGGCATGACCTTTGGCTAATTATAATATCATTATAATCTCATCTATATTGCAAATACTGTAGCTCCCAACATGCACCTGATACCATGACAGTTCCAGAAACAAGAAGAAGCAGGAACTTGAGTTCTCCGCCTACTGGGAAGAGACAACAAGGTTACAGCAGCACCAAATTTTCCAGGGCTCCGCCTCCAGGGAAAAACAATAGTTCATAACCAGCCATCTTGGCATGATGCTCGTGCTCACTCTCTGTGGAGTAAGCCCGCACTCCCCACCTCGAGTGTGGACTTTCGCTTTAATAAATCTTGCGCTTTCCTGCTTGCTGTTCTTTCTTGCGAAATAAAACAAGAGTCTGGTCACTGGACCCCCGTGCTCTCCAGCCATTCGTCTTACCCTTGAATTCTTTCTTGTGGAATAAGACAAGAACCTTTCTGGCAATGTAATGGTTAAGGGAATCACAGTGAAAATAAAATAAGGCTATCATTGGGTTTTCTCATTCTCTTTTTATCAAAGGCTCTCAACATACTGCCCAGCTGGGATAGGACTGAGAACAACGAACACATTCACATGCAATTCCATTGCTGGGGCTGACTACTTACTTTGATCTGCATAGTTTTTGGCCTTCAGTTCCAGCTGGCGGGTCTGAAACTCATAGTGTTCCACCTGGATTTGTAGCTCTTTCTTCTCTTGTTCCAAGGCATCTTCAAACTCGATGAATTTCTACACATGGAAAGGAGAGAAAGAGCAGGCATCATGAATGTGGGATGGTCAGATGATAGCAGCCCCTCACAGAAGGGCCACAGGCTTCAAGGACCACGGTGAAAGCCCAGGCTCAGAGCCAGAATGCAGGTCTCCTGTTCCAGAGCCTACTTCCAGTCACATCACATTGCCTGTCACCCTCTTCAGGCAAACCTTGACACAGACCACATGTGACAGCAGAGGCAGGAGTGAATAACCCCTTAATCTTGTAACCAGCTATCCGGGAGGTCACATGGGGCCCTGAATTTAGAAGGCTCATGCTTGGTTTAATTTTGAAATTCTTAATTTTTGAATAAGGGGCTCTGAATTTCCATTTTCACACTGAGCTCCACAAATTACGTAGCTGGTCCTTGTGCTAAGTTTCTGGGCAAAATTATTATCAAAAAAAGTGAAAAGAAAGCTCTTTACAAAATAAAAGAAACTCTCGAAAAGTCTTAGGAAGAGACCTAGCTTGACTCTGAAACTGGCTTGCAAAGCCAGGCCCTGGTGGGGGAGGGATGGGCTCTGGCTGCAGCAAAGATGCTTCCTATAACAGGCCGGAGGGGGAGCTGTAAACACCTGAATATTACTGAGTAGAAAATGGGACTGGTAAGCATAATTATCAGCTGGGTTCTAAAGACATAAAGAGTTTCTCAGAAGATGGGAATATGAAACTGATGATTGATTTCAAGTTTTGGATATCTGGAAGAGTCCATTAACTTGTGGTGGCCACCGGCTGTGTTTCCCATAATAATGCATCCTGTCCCCTAACCCTGACACGGGGCCCTAGAGATGCTTCTTCCTAGAGCATCTACTCAAAGGTCTTTGTGCTGAAAATCACAGGGGCTCCTGCCTGAAGGATGACTCACTCTGCAGTGACTAGAGGGCAGAAACCCCACAGGGGTGGGCAGGGAAGACGGGGCTTCAGACAGAAAGTCTGTATTAATGACATCACATGCAACTTAAGTAAAATGAAGAAAAAAGAAACGTTTCACTGCCAGGAAAATGCACACAAATGGTGCAGCTGTACAAAAAGTAAAAATAAGTGGTTTCGAATGACTGTGGATATAACCAGCATATGAATGAACAAATGCTATTAACTGACTAGGAAGGATAATTTTTTAATTGGGGAATTTCAATTTCTAGTACTTAAAAAAATTAAAAGAACGACATAAACAACATATGTTTTTGTAGAAAAATCAGATGACAGTGTTAAGTAAAAGAAGAATATTTTTAAAAAACCACTGGCTGGTAAAATTGAGTGACATTCTTCCAGGGGTGTGTGTGTGTGTGTGTGTGTGTGTATGGGTGCGCGCGTGCGTGTGTGTGTGTGTGTGTGTGTGTATGGGGGGAGAGAATACGTGAGTGTATGAGTATATAGAGCAGATGTGGGATCATTTTGCTCACTGTATTTTGTGATCTGATTATTCATTCATTTACATTGCATCACCTTTCTACATCAACAAATACATTCTACCATATCCATTTTTAATAGGTATGTGGGAAAACAGCCTAGCATTAATTGTCTTAATTTTCAGTTCTTTGATTACTAGTGATATTGAACATTTTTTCATAAATTTCTTGGTCATATATAGTAAGTCCTCACTTAATATTGTCAATAGGTTCTGAGACTTTAAGTGAAATAACATTATGAAACTAATTTTACCATAAGCTAACTGATATAAACAAGAATAGGAAACAGTATCTCATCGTTATAATGAAATGACTTTGAATGAACATCATTTGAGGACCTGCTGTAAACTGCTTCTTTCATGAACAGCTCATTATGTCCTTTGTCCAATTTCTTACCATATGTTCATATTTTTCATAACTATTTGTAAGGGCCTTTATTCCATCTATTCACGAATTTGTCTGTCTTATATGCTTCAAGTACTTTCCCAGCATGTGGTTTGTGTGTACATAGTATAGAAGTTTACTTATTTCTATACCATTTACTTAACAAGTTATCTTTTCTTTATTGCTTTGAAATGCCATCTTTATCATATGCCAAATCCTAATATATATTTCAGTCTATTTCTGAGCCAGTACCAATGGTTTTTAAACTTGTAATATTATAGCATCTTTTAACAGTATCTTTTCACCTTTTTCTTGGTTATTCCGACTTTTTTATCCTTTTAGATTAACTTGAGAATCATCCTGTCAGTTATATATTTTTTGAATAAGCACTTCACCTGTCAGAAAGCACCAGATCTCCGGTTCTCAGGAAGGAGTCCCTGCTTTTGATGACAAATGCTCCAGAGCTAGGTGTGGGATGAGGAGAAAACTCATCCTGAGCCAGTTAAGAGCTGTTTGATGTGGCAGCTGGGGCTGGAAGATGGAAAATTCACCCTTTCCTTATATTGATCACTGTCCTACCTCCAAGCTATACCACTGAAGTTTTACACAAAGAAAAGAGTTCTTTGGTGCTAGTGTCATTTCACTAGAATTTCCTCCCACCTATATTTCATCATTACCTGCATTTGATATTTGCTAGCCAGCTAAAAAGATTTTCAAACTAAAGACAATATAAAAAACCCCGCCCCCAAATTCTTAAGTAGGTCAGACTTTCCTATATCTATCCTGATAGGTTATCATTAAAATCCAACATAGGTGATAGTGCCAAAAAGCCTTGTCATGCCATAAAACAACCCACACACCTATAAAACTCCTGATGAAGTTGGCCCCAAACTAGGTCACATGCAGAAATCCTCTAATGTTGTGGTATTTTACGGCCTTTCAGCATCACTAAGTATGGAGACATTAACCTAGAGAGAAAATATCTACATAAGCTCAAGGCCAGAGGCAAAAGGCATGGCAGGGATAGGGAGACAGATCCCATGGTGGGTGGACATTTGCGGTTTCCGGTCATGTGGAATCCTGGTGCCAAAGGGACGGTCCCATGGGGCAAGAAATAGTCCTTAGAAACTGACAGCCTTTCATCCTCTAAGTACTGCCAGCTGACAAGGGGTGTGAGCACTCATGGAGAACAACTCCCCAGATGAACAAAAAGACCTAAGAAACCCATAAGCAACCACCAGCAGACTCAAGAGGACCCCCACCTTGGCCTGCCTCAAGCTCCCTCCCCGGCTCCCTGAAGTGCCATCCAGCATGCAGCTCCTCTCTGTCTCTCAGAGGTCATCATCTTACCAGACAAAGCTGATGAGAAGGTACCCTCAGGGGCTCCGAGTTTATGAAAATGTTTACAAACACAATATGGCTCTCTATAGCTTAAAAAAATGTTTCTTCCCCTCTTGAAAAATTATTCCAACGTCATTAAGGTAACTTAATGAAAATGCAAGTTAGCCATTTAACTGAAATGAGATATGCAATGCAATCTTCATCAAATATTATAAGGAATAACTAATGTAAAGGAACAGTGCCTGGTCAAGACTAAACAAATAACATTTATGTATGTATGTATGTATGTATGTATGTATGTATGTATTTATTTTTATCAAATGATTAAGACTAAACAAATATTTCATCTTTGCTTTTCATGAGGAAATGCTCAGGGCTAGACTTGGAATGAAGTAAAATATTTTTACTTACAGATCATTTACTTTTGATTTAAAAGCAGCAAGAATTTTCAGTGCTGGAGGGACAGGGTAGAGACTAAGTTAAGTCTACAAAAGAAGTCTTCTGAAAGAAAACTAAAAAATTTTCCAGTAGAATCTGATTATGACAAAATATAAATGGAACTGAGAAGAATAGAAATTTCTCTCTCAGTATTTGGGTTGAGTTTACATGGTACTTACCGGATTGTAAAAAAAGTCTCATATCTGAGATACTTTTTGCACAGAGTAGTACCTGAGTCCTCCAGAAGGCATGACTAGAACAAAGTGAAAGCTTCCTACATGTGCTAACTACACATACTACAGATCAGAGTTTATTTGGAATTATCACCTTTTTAACCAAGTCTAATCAAAATGTCACGTAGCATATGACAACCCATGATGTTCAAGGTTACACTTACAATAAACCTTCGAGCACCCCCAAAAAACAATGAAGGCAACTGGACAATTGAAAATGCACCAGTGTGGCTTCTCCTTAACATCTAGATATGAACCACCTAATTCTCACTTCTAAAGACCAATATGCCACACAAGTCCCTTTTTAGATTTGTTTTTAAGATATACTTCTCCCTCCTTCCCACTAATAAAATGCTCTGTTTTAAAACTAAATTTGACTTTGGTTTTCAAAATTTGTTTTTTGGTGAATTTCAAGATACATTCTGAAATAACTTGAGTATGGGCTCTTCTAAAATCTAGGAATCAGGGGAAGCTTTCCTCAATATTCCATAGAATGAGACTGTTTTCCTATTTTATACATTAAAATAAAATTAAGAAATGGACTTTTCATGTCAAATATAAAATTTAGACAACAGAAATCAGCATTCCCAAATCTCAGAATGCAAGA